CAAAGACTCTTCAAAGCAGCAAAAGAAAAGTGACTCATCATGTACAAGAGATCTTCAATAAGATGAACACATAATTTTTTATCAGAAACAGAGGCCAGAGGCAGTAGGTACTGAAAGAAAAGACTGTCAATGAAGAATTCTATATCCAGAAAAATTACCCTTCAAGAATGAAAAATCAGGACATTCCCTGAAAAACAAAAACCAAGGGAATTTGTTTCTAGTAGACTTGACCTTCAATAAATGCAAAAGTGAGACCTTAAGGCTGAAACAGCACTAGACAGTAACTTAACCATACAAAAAAAAAAAAAAATAACACCAGTAAAGATAATTATAAGTAAATGTAAAAGCCAGTATTATTATACTTTTGGTTTGTAACTCATCCTTTTTTCCTATATGATTTAAAGGCAAATAAATAAAAAATTATAAATCTATGTTAATGGGCACAACGTATAGAGATGTGATCTGTGACAACAGCATCAATAAGGAGGGCTGGAGATGTATACAAGCAGAGTTTTTGTATACTACTAAAACAAAGTTTGTAAAGTTTATGATATTAATTGCAATCCCTAAGGTAACCACTAAGAAAATAGCTAAAAAATACACAGAAAAGGAAAGAGAAGTAAAATTGGAAAATGACAAAATTTCAACTAAGTATGAAAAAGAGGCAGTAATGGAGGAGGACAGTAACAAAAAGAATGTAACAGAAAACAACTGGGCTAAACAGCAGAAGTAAGTCATCTCATTACTCTAAATATAAATACATCTAACTCTCCAGTTAAAAGGCAGATTGGGAGAATAGATAAAAATATGATTTCACTGTATGCTGAGTCAGTTTAGATACAATGGAGGAAAAAAAAAACGGTTAAAAGGATAGAAAAAGATTCCATGGAAATAGTAACCAAAAGAGAGCTGGAGTATCTATATTATTATCAGACAAAATAGATTTCAGTTAAAAAGATTACAAGAGACAAAGAAAGATATATGGTGATAAAAGGGTCAGTCCATCAAGAAAATATAGTAATTATAAACATTTGCATCTAACAACAGAACTCCAAAAGATATGAGGCAAAGATTGCCAAAACTGAAGAGAAACAGTTCTATAATTACAGCTGGAGACTTCAGTTTTTACAATAATGAACATACCAACCAAGCAGAAAAATCAATAAAAGAAATAGAGGACTTGAAAAACACTATATATCAATTAGACCTAACACACAGAATGATCCACCCAACAGCAGCAAAATGCACATTGTTCTCAAATGCAAATGGCTACAAAATGAGTTTGAAGAAACTTAAAAAGACTGAAATTATACAAAGTCTCTTTTCTCAACAGAATGAAATGAAATTTGAAGTCACTAACAGAGGAAAACTGAAAAACTAGCAAATATGTGGAAATTAAACAATCATAAAGCAACCAAGGGTCAAGGAAGAAATCACAAGGGAAATTAGAAAATATTTGAGACAAATGAAAATGGAAACACAACATGCCAGTGCACAGGGGATGCAGCAAAAATTGTGCTCTGAGAGATATTTATGGCTGTAAATACCTACATTAGAAGAAAGATTTCAAATCAATAACTCTCTTAGTCTGTTTGGGCTGCTGTAACAAAATACTTTAGACTGGACAATTTATAAACGACAGAAATTTACTGCTCACAGTACTTGGGGCCGGGAAGTCCAAGGGCAAGGCGTCAACAGATTTGGTTTCTGGTGAAGGCTTGTTCTCTGCTTCATGGATGGCACCTTCTGTGTCCTCACATTTCAGAAGGGGCAAGGGAACTTGCTCCAGCCTCTATTATAAGGGCACTAATCCCGGTCATGACAGTGAATCCTTCATGACTTAATCGTTTCCCAAAGGCCCGCTCCACCTCTTAATACTATCACGGTGGGTATTACATTCCAATATATGAATCTGGGGGGGGATACCAACTTTCAGACCACAGCAATAACCTAACTGTATACCTTAAGGAATTAGAAAAAGAGCAAACTAACCCCAAAGCTAGCAGAAGAATAGTTCAGAGATAAGTGAAATTGGAAACAGAAAAATAATGCAGATCAAAAAAATGAAAAGATGGTTCCATGAAAAGATCAACAAAATTAACAAACGTTGAGCTAGATGGACCAAGGGGTGGGGTGAGGGCGCACACAAGTTACTAAAATGAAAGAAGGGACATTACTGCCAACTTTACACAAAAAAGATTATGAGAATGTTATGAACAACTATATCTCAACATGTTAGATAACCTAGATAAAATGGACAAATTCCTAGAAACATACAAACTACCAAAATTGACCAAAATTTAGTAAGGGGGCTTAATCAGTAATCAAAAACCAGGCATAAGGCCGCGGTGGCTCACGCCTGTAATCCTAGCACTCTGGGAGGCCGAGGCGGGTGGATCGCTCAAGGTCAGGAGTTCAAGACCAGCCTGAGCAAGAGCGAGACCCCGTCTCTACTAAAAAATAGAAAGAAATGATCTGGACAACTAAAAATATATATATAGAAAAAATTAGCCAGGCATGGTGGCACATGCCTGTAGTCCCAGCTACTCGGGAGGTTGAGGCAGAAGGATTGCTTGAGCCCAGGAGTTTGAGGTTGCTGTGAGCTAGGCTGACGCCACGGCACTCACTCTAGCCCAGGCAACAAAGCGAAACTCTGTCTCAAAAAAAAAAAAAAAAAAAAACCAGGCATAGTACCCCCTGCCTGTAAGCTCCGCACCCTGGGAAGCCAAGATGGGGGTACTGCTTTGAGCCCAGGAGTACAAGACCAACCTGGGCAAGATAGCAAGACTCCATCTCCACAAGAAGTAGAAAAATTAGCCTGGTGTGGTGGTGTCTGCCTGTAGTCTAGCTACTTGAGAAGCTGAGGTGAGAGGATCACCTGAGCCCAGGAGTTCAAGGTTGCAGGGAGCTGTGATTGCACTCCAGCCCATGTGACAGAGCAATACCCTGTCCCTTAAAAAACAAACAACAACAACAAAAAACTACCAACAAGGATGAAATGGTTTCACTGGTGAATTCTATAAAACTTTATATAAATTCTCCCCCAAAATATTTGAGAGAGGGAAACACTTCCTAACTCATTCAACAAAGCCAGCAATACCCTGATACCTAAGTCAGGTAAAGATGCTGCAAGAAAACTACAAATTCCCCTTATGGTTATAGATACAGAAATACTAGAAAACCAGATCTAGCAGCATTTTAAAGGATTATATCCATGACCAAGCGAGATTTATCCCAGTAATGCAAGGATGGTTCAACCTATGAGAATCATTCAATTTAATATACCACATTAATAGAACGAAAGGTGGAAAACCCTCAAGATGTCTACTGTTGCAGAAAAAACATTGAACAAAATCTAACACCTTTCAGGATTTAAAAAAACCTGGGGGAACTAGGGGAAAAAAGGAACTTCCTCAACATGATAAAGGCCACAGACGAAAAATGCACAGCTAAATCACTCCACAGTGAAAGACAGAAAGCTTTTCCCCAAAGATCAGGAACAAGATAAGGATGCCCACTTTCCCTACTTTTATTCAACACGAAACTGGAAATTCTAGCTAGAGCAATTAGGCAAGAAAAGGAAAGGCATCCAGATTAGAAAGGAAGAAGTAACATCACTATTGTTTACAGAAGACATGATCTTATTAAATGTAAAACTGCAGGATATAAAATCAACACCAAAAATCAGTTGCATTTATAAATATTAGCAATGAATAATATAAAAAGGAAATTAGTAATTCTACTTATGATAGCATCAAAATGAATAAAATACTTAGGAATAAATTTAACTGAGGAGGTGCAAACTGATACACTGAAAACTACAAAACATTGCTGAAAGAAATTAAATATGACGCAAATACCTGGAAAGATATCCCATATTCATAGATTGCAAGACTTAATATTGTTAAGATGACATACCACCCCAAGCCACATACAGGTTCAGTGCAATCTCCATCAAAACCCAGATGGCATTTTTGCAGAAATAGAAAAATCCATCCCAAAATTCATATGGAATTTCAAGGGAACCTATTTAAAATAATCATGAAAAAAAAGAACAAAGTCGGAGAACTCACAGTTCTTGATTTCAAAAGTTACAGAAATCAAAACAGTGTGCTACTGGCATAGGATAAATATATACAGACCAATGGAATAGCCTGAGAACCTAGTAATAAGCTTTCACATTTATGGTGAATTGATTTTTGACTAGAGTTTCAAGACCGTTCAATGGAGAAAGAACAGTTTCTTTGACAAATGGTGCTAGAAAAACTGAATATCCACATTCAAAAGAATGAAGTCGACCCCTTACTTACCTTATACCCATATAAAAAAATTAACTCGAAATGGATCAAAGACCTAATTTCAGAGCCAGTAAAACTCCTAGAAAAAAACAAGAGCAAATCTTATGACCTTGGATTTGGCAACGAATTCTTAACTTTAACACCAATCCTCTGACCACCTACTCAGCCTAAAGGTTAAAAACCCAGGCTCTAGGCCTCATCTATACTACTTGATTTCAATTTAATTCCTTTTTTTTATAGCTACAGCAGCCTAGGAGAATTCAGTGGGCTATAGAAAGCTGCTTCTTTATAAATTTTCTTCCTTTATAGAGAGGAATATTTAGGTATTAATGTCCTAAAACTTACAATAATTTCATTCTCCTTTGTAAACTTACATTACAAAGGGCTAGGAGACGAAGTGTTTCACTCTCTTACCTTTTCAGAACCATTTAACCAGTCACTATTTGGCTTTTTTTGTTGCTGTTAATTCCTATTTCTAAATTTAATTAATTGGTGGAGTTTCTTTGTAAAATTGTGGCTGTGTTTCCACCTGGCTAGGGAGAAATATCCATGTTAGTTTTGTAATTATCACTAAGAAATCACTATATCATCTAATTTCTTTGCTTTTAAGAAGAGTTCCTAGAGCAATCTCTTACACCTGCATTTGATAAAAGGTGTGTTGAATCCACAACCAGAGGATAATGCCAATAAACTGAGCCAAAATATTATACGAATATTTTAATGCAAAATGCTTAACACTTAAAATTAGCAAAGCTTCATTTAAATTAAAATTCCATTTAACTAAAGATGGTTAACCCCAAGAATTGTACAGTAGTGGATTTCTGCTATATAATGCCAGTCCTATGCATTACAATAAGAACTGCATCATCAGCTGTCACTTCTTCCATTGCTCTTCTGGACCGTAAGGGGCGAGGGAGACGGTACTCGGACACAAAGCGAAATACAACCCAAATAAACTGCGCAGTGATTGCTAATAGTCGTAAGTTCCTTTTGACTAAGCTGCCCAAACAGCCAGGGAATAACTGCAGGTGTTGTTCCAGAGCTGACATGAGGTTTTTGTTTTTACAGCCTGGTAAAAGTTCTGCACTAGGTGAGAAGTCACAGTTTAAGGATGCATGTTCTGTAAATAGTTACTACATATACACATTTAGTGTCTGTAAACACTAGAAATATACATTAGACAGAGTACCCTCACAAGTCGGGTACAGTTTAAAAAAGAAGATGAGGTAACATGAAATCTCAAAGTCCACAGGAATCCTGCCTGAAGAGTTTAAACAGCTGCCAGTAATTCACTTCCAATGTGCAGGGAGATTAAGGTTTGCCAAAACCGGATTCACTGGCTTTCAGCATTGCAACTGCATCTTTAACTGCATGGTAGATAACATTCTTCACCTAAAACAATGGGAGAAAATATGGTCATTTTATCCTTGTATCTAAGATCTGTCATTAAGAATAAACTTTTCTACCAATTTTATTACCTTCTCTCAGAATTTAAAACTCAATATTCAATAGGAAATGTCAATACTAGAAAGGCCCCTGGGCTTCTTCAGACCAGTATTTCATACACATTTTAAACCCACTCCTCCTCTGAAGAACTTAAAACCTCATTTTCACCTTTCTACAGGCTTTGATTCCACATAAACCTACCCAGGGTGAGAACAGGGAGAGGCAAATTCCAAGGTACAGTTTTATTATTTTTCGTAGTATATATACTTACCCGATTTTACAAACATGAAATTATGTTACATAATTCACTACTGAAAACCTTTTCAAAATACCACAGCCTCAGATCCCTTTGAATCCAGAGATTCAATTCTGCTCTACCTAAGGCTGACGAGAACATTGTAGCACTAAAGGTCAAGCACTATGTTCAAGACCCCTGACTGGCAGCTGGACCATGATCAGAAGTCAGATCTATTTACTTTCAGTACTAAAGCCTTTCTCTTTGGGGATAGTCCCTTACAGAGCCTAAATAATATCAGATCAAACCAAGGTGAGATTTCTTCTAGGTTTGTTCCTCCTTCCCTTAAGTAGATAGCAGAACTAGATAGAAAGCCAGTTCATCAACTCACTGTACTGAGTGTGATATGGCCAAGTTCACTTACTCTCTTTATAAGGTCAATAAAGGTCCATGAAGCCATAGCCAGAGGATGCTAAGAATCAGTGCTATTTTTACCTGTAATTTATCTTCATGATTGGTGTGAGTCTGTGACAGATAACGGAATTCCTGAGTAAGCCAGAAGCAGTGTTTAACATGCTCTGGAGAAACAAAATCTTCAGCCACTTTGATACAGCTATATAAGTTATGAACCTGGAAAACACCAAACCATATCAGTAAAAAAAAAACCTCAGAAATTCGTAGTATAAAGAGAATAAAGAAAAAGGAATGATTCTTGCCTGATGTGGAGCTCCTGCTGGGATAAACACCACATCCCCAAGAAATTGTACGATAGCCCAGCCTTGAACTCCATATTCTTGATGAAGCCGCTTTCTTAGTGATCGGTCTAAATACCAGCTCTGATCATGAATAGGATCATGGTCTGCTGGGTTTTCTTGACCTTGCTCTTCTGATACCTAGAATGCATTCAAAATATTATGCAACTGAGCAACATGCTAAGGCCCAATAGGGCATTTTTTCCTTTGAATAGTGTTGGCAGTCAGTAAATGGCATCCCTTCTTCAACTTAAATGTCCCCATTGGCAGAAAAACACAAGTAGTACTCAAAGACATTAAATCAATAGAATGAATCAATAAAAGAATGACAAAGAAAATGTGGCTTCCCTGCTATTATTTCCTATAAGCCATGACTAGGAGTCTCTGCATATTTTTGTAAATCTTATATTTGGACAATATTTTGGTCTAGACTTTTAAATATAAGTAGACTCAAGTTCCTTAGAAATGACGTTGTTTTGCAGTTATTAAAAAACCTATATTCACTTAACAATCTGACTTATGAAACAGTCCCTAAGTTACCTACAGATTAAATTTGTTTATTCTAGACCCAGTATCTGGCAAAGCCACAGACTTAGAATGACACTATCAAAGGAACAACATGGTAACCAGCAGGTTATCTGGAAGACTCAAATGATCCTTAGCCAGAAATACCTTGATTCAAACAAATGCTTGTTAAGGACCTGCTTGGTGCCAGGTAAGGGGCTAGGAGTGTTCATATGCAAGCCTCATTAATAACTGAAGAATATCAGCCAGAGACACCTGGGTTGCAACCAGTAGCCTCAGTGCCAAACAAGTTTAAAACTGAATATGCCCCATCTGTCCAGTTGCCTAGAACTTCCAACACAGAGCCCTTGCTGAACAACCTGCCAACTACAGGGGAAACCTAGAATGTTCCAAATCCCTGCATCCCTTGCTAATGACAAGTAGGGCCTCTTACTGTGTGAAAGTGGACAAAACCAATAGGGACTTAAGTAATCAATTAGAACATGGCTGCTCAGGGCCAAGGATTGATATGTGAACTTCTGAAGTATTCAGACTCTCAAGACAATAAAAACAAATGACAACTGCTATAAGATAATTATAATACATGAACCAAAGTAGAAAACAAAAATCTCCAAATGCAATATGAAATGTAGACATAAAAGATAAGCCTCCTCTTTTTAGAAATGTGACCCTCATCATTTAGAATCCTTGTTCCTTAACAGCTACCTTCAGTCTCTCCAATCTGACGTGCACAGATTGCACTTTTGAGATTGTGACAATTCCCCAGCAAGCCAGTCAGACAGTTTATAATACTGCTATTCTCTATGCCTCTGCTTAAATGCCACAGGGTAAGGAGCACACCTTTTTAAGGAATTCCCTTATCTTCTCTGTGTCCTTAGCAGCATATATGTGCCAGAGTGCTCCTGGCTTCTCTTTTCCTTCAATAAATCGCTTTATTGTGAGTTCATCAGAATCTCCATCTTGAATGGTTTTAAGGACTTCTAGAGCAAGAGAAAGCAAATATCAGACCACAGGCCCTACCGCAGAGAGTAAGCCCCACTTTTATGCTTAGCACCCTACCTTCTTCTTGCTCACACTGTCCTTTAGGAATTCCCACATAAACCATGACATTGGCTGCATCAGAAACATCTAAGTGAAGATTTGTTGTTCCATATTTCCGATCATCTGGAGTGATCAATCCTGTAAAAGGAAAATGCCTTAAATTTACTGAAGACAACAAAGGCTGCCATAGTCTTTCCACTCCCTGGGAGAAAGCTGACTCTCTAATCTTGCAAAGTTAAAAGAAAAATAATTAATATTAGGTTCCTTTATCCTTTCAACTTTGAAAGAAAATAATCTCTTATCAAATATTTGATTATAAAAATAAAAAACAACTCCTAATTCTAAGACTTCTGTTTCTGGTAATTGGCAAAGTGAGTCCCTGATTGACCCTCCTGCTGAGAACTAAAAATTCTGGATGAAATTATTGCAAAAAGATTTTTTTAAGGAAATCAATGTGCTGGCAAGAAAAGAAGGAATATTTGGGGGCCAAAACAGCAGGAAATGGGAGGAGTAAAGAGGGCTCTTGAAACTGGGATTTGCCGAAAGGGTATTTGCTTAATCAAGTGAGCTCAAGCTTTGGTTGTTGCCATAGTTCAGGAGCGTTCTAGGGCAAAAGAGAAAGCCCAAGGTCCACTCACAATGGGCAGCCTAACAGAAAGCCCCCACTCACATACACATAAAGCTGGGACCTTAAATGCCTACACTGAGTATAAGACAGAACACTGCCACACACGTTCCTTGCTCCTCTCAACTGTAAAAGAGGGGTGAGCCAGGATGAGCGGTCCCCTCCGACGTTTAGTCTGTGGATCTAATTCTTTACCCAGAGGAGAAGGTTAACCTTGCTCGACAATCACCCCGAACCGCACTAAGCCATGTAGTCACCTTGGGCGGCCCATCCTGACACCAGGACTCTGCTTCTTGAACTGGACAGCAGAGGAAAGCATGGCTCGTGGTGAGCAAACGGAGGTAGTTTTCTAACCTGCCAGCCTCTCAAAGGCCCTGTACGGTTTGCAGGAGGGCTTTATCTCTGACTTGCCTACGGCTGTGCTTTTAGAGAAGCTATACTTACGAGGAGGCACCTCATCATTCCAACTGGGAACAAGGGCCCTAAGAACTTCTGGAGCAAGAGAAAGCAAATTTGTTTTTTTTCTTTTTTAAAATAAAAGTCTGCACAGTGTTTTGTTTCAGGAGCCCTGCACACTGTTGTAACTGGAGGATGAGTATATGGGGAGTCACTGTACTAGACTCTCAAGTTTTCCGTGTGTGTGGAAAATACTTCCATAGTAAAAAAGTAAAATTTAAGAAAAAAAGCACTTAACAGGATAGAAATAAAATGAATGAAATTAACATAGTTACACTAAATGACAACATGGATGAATAATAAAAAATCTGATTCTATTCATATAAAATTCAAAATTAGGTTAAAAACAAAGAAAATTGTGCAGGAACACAAATCTATGTGGTAAAATTACGAGGGAATGATGAACAAAAGCTTCAGGACAGTGGTTAAGAGTAAGTGCAAAGGAAGGGGCTAGCACTGGGAGGAGGAGTGAAGAAAGGAGAGCAGGTCTCAAAGCCTCGTGAGGGACTGACGGCCTGCTGGTGTAGCCAGTGCCCCCCAGAGTAAAAGAGAGCTGTACGAATCGAGGAAGGAACGATAACGCCAGCCACTTGCCCAAAGTCCTTCTGACCCCAGCCACGAGTTACGGCACATTGATAAAACCAGACTGTACACTGAGGGAATCTGAACTCAGATGAAACCAAGACTACAAAAGCATAATGGTCACAGGGAAAAGATTCCCAGAAAACAGAAAATCCTGAAACAAAACACTATTCACTGACTTTTATTAAAAAATGAAACAAAAAACCCATAAGCTGAAATAGTAGAGGCTGTTGGGTGACGGGGCACTGGGGTGAAAAGGGTTGGGAGATGGGCTCTAGCTTGGAAATCGGGAGACCCAAGTTCTAGCCTCAGCCCTGCCACTCACTGCCCCTTGGAGATCCTGAACAGGTCAGTGTCCTTCTATTGTCCTCAGATCCTGGTCCCCATTTATAAAATGGGGGATGTTGTTGGAGCTGGAGAGAGGCTGGACCCTGTGATCTCTCCAAAGAGCCTTCGTACCTTACTTTGACTGACTAAAGAGTCGCAGCTCAATCACCCTAAGGACCTCTCTTTAATGATGTTTATGATATGGTATGTGGTGTCTGAAAATGAACACATTTTCGTTTTGAACCCATAAATGCTTGCTTCTGGATGGGAATAATTTTGTCCTAGGAAAAGCTTCTATAGAGTAACACTGCCCTCTATTAGTGTCTAAGGGGAAAGACCAGCTGCCAAGCTATTTAAACCAAGCAGGCAACTTATTTTGAAAATTTCTCAGATAGCCACTTCTATCCTATAAAGCATGAATAATCACTATACAATATTATACCACATACTTTATTGGAAAAATGCTTTCACATACATAAGTTTATTATAAACCCCCACTATAATAGAGAGAGTATGCCTGAGATCCCAACCATCTAGTTACTCTGATCAGGCTCTGAAGGGCTCAAAGGAAGGGAATTCAGCTAAGGAACATGCTGCGGCCCCACAGCATATGAAGGGCTCACTAACTGGAACCTGAGAAGCGAGGAACAGGCAAGAGGACTTCTTCCTGTCTTCTCTCCCACACACCATTTCTCACCCTATCCTAGCGGAACTATCTTGGGTATGTAGACCACTGGGACCTTCCAAACAGAAGCACTGCCCTCTTGGAATGTTCCCCAACCACCTGCCTGGTGGTTTCCTGGGCCGACTCAACCATAACAGAAGAACTGTGGGGCTGAGGTCCTGGTCCTTCCCCATACCCACCCCCCACCAACAGTCTCTGGAGAACAAGGCAAAGACACCAACAGACTTTGTCCTTTTTGAGTAGGACACCTTCAGGTTTAAGAGACTGGAAATGGAAGATGACATGGAGGCGATTATGGGAGGAAGGAATAAAATCAAAGAAATAATTTCCAAGAGGATAGAAAAGTAGAAGCCAAATAGTATAAAAGAGTAAATGAAATTCACTGAAAGATTTAAACAAGTGGAATTTCATTCAACAATAAATTGGTAAATAACTTCTTCAAAATGGCTAACATTAATCCAGTCCTAATTAAAGATCCTATGTAAAACTGGTCAAGATCACAGTAATAATGACAAAAGACGACTTTGGTAAATGTAAAAACCAATCTTTATCCCAAGCAAACCTCTCCCCCCTGCTGGACAGTTTACTGAATCATGCCCAAATAATAAAAATCCAATTCGAAGGGTACCTTCAATACTAACTTAAGTAACTAACTTCTACCCACCAACATAGAACATTGCATTTAAGTGTAGTAGGTGTTAAAACAGCTAGAATGCTAGCAGATTGACCTAAACGTCCATCAACATTAAATCACTGATAAAATTATATTCTTTCAATGAAGTATCATGTAACCATTAAAAATTATCATACTAAAGACTACCAAGCAACACATAAATATCTTACAATATAAAATTAGATATAGAAAAGAGAAAAATACAAAATTGCATATGCCCTACAACTGCAACTGTAAAAAGGAAATACGCATACACATGGCCAAGAAATGAAAGGAAATAAGTAAAAATGAAGTGTTAAGTGTTAGGATTATAGATGTTTTCCATCTTTCCCTCCCCTTTTAATCAATTTTCCAAACATTGTGACTTATTTTATTTCTGTTTTAAGGTTAGCCATTTCCTACTTACCATAAGCATTATACATCTTGGGACCCAGATCTGGACGAACAAAGTAGTTTGGCAGTCTAGAGGCCAAGTTCAGTTTGCCATCTCGCCTTGTGTACTCAGGCAGTGGGATGTTGGCCATGAGATCATCAAACCTAGGACAACAGAAGCAGGAATCTGCAAAATAAGCTTGTCTTTCTAACTCATTATTGTGTGACTTGTTTTGTTCCTTCTATATCAAAAGGAACAAATATATCTGTGATCATGAAGATGAGATAGCTAGTAATAATACTTAAGGTTAGAACTGTAGTAATTATGAACAAAGATGGCTTCTTTCTCTCCTGCACCACATAAATGCATCAAAATCACCTGGAATATTTCAGACAGAAGATCTGAGCAATGAATTCCTGATGATAAGTGAAACTCAGGGATATATTACTGATTAGTTGTTAGGATCCTTTTTAAGTTTTCAAACTCAAAGCAGGAAAATGGATCTACACTAATTAGATGTCTTGTTGTCTAACTCGATGTAAATGTATCATAGAGAACCCCGACAAGTCTTATCCCATAACTACCTCCAAACTAGTCTTGCAAGCCTAAGTCAACAGTCAGCCTCTTCTCTAGCAGAGCACTACCATGGAGCTTTCATTAGTCAGCCAGATCTAAAAGTCAGTAACCCTTCATCTCATTTAAAAATACACAAAACTCTAAAGATTATAGATTAGAAATAAAAAATCAGCACCAGTAAAACTATGGAACTTTCATATTTCCCTGAAAACTATTTCTCACTACCACAAAAAAGAATTTATCCCAACAAGTCAAGGACAGAATCATTTCTCCCCACTTTCATAATCATACCTGGAAGGCATCATATCTCTAAAATCTTCTCCTGGTGGCCAGTCCTTAAGTTTCAGTACCATTGGTTCTTGTTCATTTTTCAAACGATCTGAAAAGGAACCAGAATAAATGAATTGTTACTATTCATAGCTCAAGAAACAGACCAAAAAAAATGACAAATTAGCATTCTATGCCTCAAAAATGCAAATAAAATATATTTTATTTCTGTAAAATTTTCATAACCTGATACATTTCGAATTTTTTTTAATATTCTGCCCCCTGCCTATTGCCAACCATTTTATTTCTACAGTATCAAGAAATCCATTTGTACTGAGGTGGCAGCAAGGTGCAACAAAATAAAGATCACCAACTAATAAATTTGTACTGGGGTCCTGTCTTTCCTAGATGCGTATTAAATTGCTATTCATTCTTTGAGATTCAGCCACTCCCTTTTGCCCAGTACACACAGGAGGAGATAGACATGAATTTTAAACTCCAAAATCCTGGAAAATGCTGATCTTTAATACATACTTGGAACATCTTCAAATCCATCCCAGAAGTCTCCTACTGTGGCTCCTGTGATGATTTCATTGGTCCTGCAATTAACTAGGTCGACTTCCTGCTCACCGAACTCTTTCCTGAAGGATTCAGGTTTCCAAAGTTCAGCGTTCAATTTATGATGCACTCCTGACACCATCACTGGCTAGAAGAAGAGAACGAAGACTTTAGTCTGAACTCCCCCAGCTCTGTCCCCACACTTGCAGGCAGTCCCTCTTCAAACTGTTGCCAGTTTGTTTCCATGTGGCTGGTTGTCAGTCTCAGATGATGAAGTGACAGCTTAGGCTTAGCTCTCTGAGCTCCCAAAGCATCTCTAATCTTCACCATTCATCTGCTCTGCACCACTTGCTCTCAAACTATATTAGTTAGCTTCTAGGAGAAAAGATCACCCTTCCAATTTAGATCCCATTACTCACAGCAAGGCCCAGGGCCAAGCAGGGGATATAAAGGAGACAAGGGCCAGTAGGAGTGTCCAATCCAAAGGGGGGGCAATACCACTAGCCTCTAGCCTGTTATTGCCAGGCAGGAATATGGACTTGAGGGTGCTGAATCTTTTGGCTATCTAAGACAAGCCAGAAATCCTGATATTTATGTGAAATAGCCTAGCTTTAAAATATTGGCAATAAGTTTTTTTAATAAAAAAAATTTACATATGATATACAATCCAAGCAAACCCTGCTGGTAAACTGCATTCAGCCTATCATGTTGCATCCTCTATATTAATGATTAAATGAGCTGAAAAAACATTTTTAGAATTTTTTGTTTTTTTTTTTTTTTTGGTTAAACTCTCATATTTTTCTATTTGGCATTTCTCCCAAATTCTTGTCAAAGAGCAAACTGTTCCTTCAGTGAGGACTCCATTTAGCCAAAAGGAGAAGCCAAAGATCCAGAAAAAAGAACCAAAACAAGAAAGCACAGGAGCAGGCCTAGGAAGTCTCTTAAAGATATCAACCAAAACTTAAGATCCAACAATGCTGCCCTTTAAAGCAGACTATACGCTGAATCCAGCGTAACACCCCATGGCTTTGGCCCACCTAGAAATGCCTTCAGTATAAGGTTTTAATTCATGGGAGAGGGATGCATGACTTTTTGTCATATTTTGTCTAATCCTCTGATATGGTGTGGATGTTTGCCCCCTCCATATCTCATGCTGAAATTTGATCCCCTGTGTTAGAGATGGGGCCAAGTGGGAAATGTTTGGGTCACGGGGACAGATCCTTCACGAATGGCTTGGTTCTTGCTCCATTAGTTCACATGAGAGCTGGTTGTTTAAAAGAGCCTGGCACCATCTCCTCTATCTCTCACTCCTTCTCTCACCATGTGACTCACCTGCTTCCCCCTTTACGTCTGCCTTGAATGGAAGCTCCCTGAACCCCTCACCAGAACAGTTGCTGGCACCAGACAGCTGGTGCCTGCAGAACCCGGAGCCAAATAAATCTCTTTTCTTTATAAATTACCCAGCCTCAGGCATTTCTTTACAGCAGTACAAAACAGACTAACACATCCCTTAAACCCCATCAGCCTCTTCGTCACACTCCCACTTTCCCTGCCGAGGTTTACCACAGAAGAATCACTAAGCCTGGATGATCTCATCAAAAATCCAATGATTACTGGTTGGAAGCAATCAAAGTCTGATTGGAAAAGACAGCTCAGGAATGTCTGCTATAAAAAATAAAACTCAGTCAATACCCTGCCCTGCTTATATTCACTCTAAACAATAAAGTATAAAAACAGGAGGTAAAGGAAATGCCACTTATATTTGAGAGGGGGAAAAAGCTGCAGTGGAATTGTGAGAAATCTGCCAAAGGAACTGAGAGGGAGGTGTGAATTGGGTTGGGGGAGCAGAGGCCCCTATTACCTGCCCTTGTTTCCAGCACTCCCTAAACACATTCCAGTTGCTCTTGTTGTTGGGATCTTGCAAGCACAGCAAACGATTATCACACAGCCAATAGTGAGGAGTGTCGAAGCCCAGAATGCTGGGCTTGATCGTCAGTCCTTGAGGCCTTTTGGATAAATCAGAGGACGTCTTATTTTGCACTAAAGAGGCAAAGATGTCATCAAGGATTTTTGGTGTATTCTTGAGTCCATTTTCTGTCTGAATTTGAGAAAGAACACAAATCTTAAATATGTTGTTCCCTATCACCAAAAAATCCCATCCCTATAATGGTAAGATAAGTATACATTACATATCCAGAAAAAGTCCATATGCATTACAAATCCAGAAAAGAGTACAAGCAGGACCCTCAGGCAAACAGGCATGTCCCCTGTCCCTACTTGACATCACAAGTCATAGAACCGTGTATAGGAAAAAGTAGCCCAGCCCTGAATTACAGCCCTGTGAAACTCATCTGCCAATGACTAAGCCTTTTGTACCCACAAAGGTAAGCATGGAATTCATAGCCTCCTTTCTACTTTCAGTTTCAACTTCTCTAGTATCTTCCTGTTCTGTCTCTATTCAACTTTACAAGGTGGAGGACAAACAGTAAAACAAGCAAATACCTTTCCTGTAGAGGAATTCAAGAGATTTCGGAGGAAACCAGAATTATTGTTGCTTACAGGTGTCAAAATTGTGCTATTAAAGGTGTGGAGGACCGTGCTGGATTTGCTCAAAGGCGGAAGGGGTGGAAGGCATTTGATTTCATTCTTTAAAATTGGCATGGTTGGCTGTTTTTCTAAAAATAAAACCAAAAACATCCAGATGAAAAAGCATTCTGAAAGTCAAATCACTTATTAGTATTCTTTTAGCAGAATTACTTTAGAACTTGGTTTTCATTTACTGGAACCAAAAAACTTAATGGGATAAATACTAATGATATTATTCATTTAGACAAGGATTCCCAACTGATGTTAAAACACTAAACATCCAATGTCCAGATAATACTATGGTAAAGCTATCTTTTAAACTTTTATTTTCTATTTGTTTGGTTTGGGCATACAAAATACAACTGATTTTTGTAAACTGACCTTGTATCTAGTGACTTGAATAAATATGTTTAGTAAATGTAGATCTAGTGGGTTTTTCACATGTATTGTCTA